ATTTTTTTGAATGAGGTAAGGCAAAATCATTTCGTTAAGATTTCGGTAAGAAACAATGTTCCTTTATTTTTTTTTTTACTATTTTTGATTTATTCGCGCAAAGGACATTGGGTAGTGCAGGAATTCTGGGAATGTTGCACAGAGAAATTTGGTTGACGTATGTACAGATTTCAATCCGAATTTCCTCTGTTCTTACACGTTAGTCTATTGACGCTCGCTGCGCTCGCTATAATTTACAATCGTGAACTATAGTTAAGAGTTGTTAATCTGTTAATCATAGTTTCACAAATCGTGAACATGGTGAAACTGTATTTATCAGATAATCTATATGTTTTGCAATCGCCAATGATTGTTTTCAGTGTTAAGTATAGTTTAAGTATAGATTATCGCGTTAACTAATGTTTTACAAAAAAGTTTACAGTCCGTAAAATATAGTTTACAACCGATAAACTTAATTTATCGACTGTGAAACCATGTTTAGCTAATTTTTATGAATTTAGCGTGCCATATATATAGTTTTATGTAAAACTTTGATCGTCTATTGTGACTGCCACCATACCTACGGGAGTCATGAACTTGAACAAACTTAAATCCACACTACTTGAGAATGCTTTCATATATATGACCAATCATTGCTTTGCTGTTCTTGAGAAGATGTTCCTATATTTTTCATTGTGAAACTCGGATCGTCCATTGTGGCCTTACTCTAATCCAGGGGTTATGATTTCAACCAACTTGAATCTACACCACCTGAAGATGCTTTCACAATAAAAATATGACCAACAATTGCTTTTGTTGTTCTAAAGAAGAAGATTTTTAAAAGATTTTTCCTATATATTCCTATGCAAAAACTTTGATCGTCCACTGTAGACCCATGCTACAGGTACCCTTGGGAGTCATGATTTGAACAAACGTGAATCTACACTTTCAAACAATGATTCCACGTAGGTTTTTCCTGGTCCATTGGTTTCTGAGAAGATTTTTCAATGGTGCCATTAAGTTTTCGCTATTTTGTAATTATTTCCACTTGGAGGAGGAAGAGGGAGTTATTTGAACAAACTTGAATCCCCTTCACCTTTGATTGATTGTATGTTGTTTAACGTTCCTCTCGAGAATATTTTACTCATATAGAGACGCCACCACTTGCCGGTGGAGAGCTTCAAATTTTGTCCTATGCTCAGCACTCAGGGCCATTGAGCAGGGAGGGATCTTTTTCATGCCAGCACCTCCTGTGACACGGGACCTCGGTTAATACGGTCTCATCCGAGGGACGGTCTCCATGTCCCACAGTGGGATTCGAACCCGCGACGTAAGGATCAACTCCTTACTTCGCAAATCTAGAGCAGACGCTCTAACCACTGCGCCACATCCTTCACCTTTGAAAGGATACTTTGTGTCAAGTTTTGTTGAAAATAGCCCAGTATAGTTTTAAACTTCTGGAGAAAAAGAAAAGTTAAAAGTTTACAACGACGACGACAGACAACTTATAAATTTTGATCAGAAATGTCCACTTGAGCCTTCGGCTTTTTTTATTTTTTATGCCCCCTTCATTGAAGATCCGGGGATATAAAGTATTTGCCCTTTTTGTCCGTATCACTATCTGTTTGTCCGCAAAAACTTTAATCTTGCTAATGTTTTTTATGGAGTCCATGGATGGGGCTATTGTTTTAATATTTCACAGTGTGTGTATTCTTTGTGACAAGACTTTTTTGGGTACCACCAAATTTGGCTCTTGAACTTGGGAGTTTTACCCACTTTTACAAAAAAGATTCACACTTTTACCTTGGTTAACAGTTGGTGCTTAGACTTATTTTTCACATTTTGTGTATTTATTGTGACAAGATCTTTCAGTGGTTATAAGTATTTTAACCATTTGACCATTTGACCTTGTCCTAAGAATTTAGACTTTTAAAAACTTTAACCTTGGTCATAATTTTTGAACAGTTAGAACTTGACAAGGTGTATTCCATGTGACAAGACCTTCCTTTGGGAAGGAATAATTTCTGATCTTGACCTTTGGAGTTTGACATGCATTTAACCCTGGTCATTATAAGCTGCCATACGGGGGCATCAGTCTTTCACAAACACATTTTGTATTTTTATATATAGATTTTTCCTATACGTATCTATATAAAACTTCGATTGTCCCATGTGCCTCAATCCAAGTCTTGGGGGTCATGAAATGCTTCCATATCAATATAAATATATTTTAAATCTTTCTTTTTTCAAACTTCACTGGTACATGCAACATTATAAACTCAATAACCTCATTTAAAAACTGTAGTTTTTTTATTTAGTAAGAAATTAAAAATTGCCAGCTGGTACATTGTATTTCATGAAGCTCATTATGTAATAAATATTAAGGGGGCAGTGTAATTTTATACTATTCTCACGTCAGGTGTCTGTGAAATTGTTAAACATTTTATTATATAATTATTGAATGCTCCAGCCATCCAAATGTCTTTAAACAGTTTAAAATGTAGGCGAATGGATTTTTTAATTAATTATTGAAGTGTCAAAACATTGTCACAGCTGTGGTTTGTTCCTTGCATTTGAGCAAAAATATAAAGAGGTAGTCAAATAGTGACAATTCATTGACACCCGGTCCTTATCTGCCTGAATTACTGAAAGAGGTATATTATTCTTTTTTCCCGATCCATAATTTATATTGATGGAACAGAAAGATATATGAAAAAAATGAAAATGGACACTACAGCTATCATGCAGCTTGCTTTAAAAAATAATGTAACTTGTTAAATTGTGTTTACTGCTCCAGATCAACAGTAGCAATCTGTTTTCATAAGATATAACAAGAGGCCCACGGGCCTTATAGGTCACCTGAGTATCGTGCAACAACTTTCAAACAATTAAAATTGCTTCGTAGTTTAAACCAGAGGCCATGAAATTCACAATTCACAATTTTGAAAGAAGCACCATTGCTCATCATAATTATGAACTTAGCATGCTTACTCTATTTACCTAATACCCAGATGTAGATCAGAGTAACAAAGATATTAAAATGCACTTCCACTTTATAACCAGTTGTGCACCTCATCCCAAAGGAACCACTGACCCTGGGGCCACATATTGATTAATACTAAAAGAGCAGATTTCAAAGCATTAATTTATTTTCAGACTATGACCCCCCCCTCCCCCCGACCAGGGGCAGAAAAACTAATCATTTTGCTATATGTACCTTTCTTCATCATAAATATATATACTTGGATCATTGGCATAAAACCCAGGAGCAAAGAAAAGATTTTCAAAGATTTAATGTATTTTCACTATGTAATCAATAGAGCCCCGCCCTAACACCAGAACCCCTGACCCTGGGGCCATAAAATTCACAATTTTGGAAGAGGCACTCTTGCTTAACATAACTATGTGTTTAGTTAGTTTACTTAATACCCAAGAGCAGAGAAGAACATTTTCAAAGAATAAATGCATTTTCACTATATGATCAATAGAGCCCCTCCCTAACACCAGAACCCCTGACCCTGGGGCCATTACATTCACAATTTTGGTAGAGGCACTCTTGCTCAACATAACTATGTACTTAGTTAGTTTACTTAATACCCAAGAGCAGAGAAGAACATTTTCAAAGAATAAATGCATTTTCACTATATGATCAATAGAGCCCCGCCCTAATACCAGAACCCCTGACCCTGGGGCCATAAAATTCACAATTTTGGTAGAGGCACTCTTGCTCAACATAACTATGTACTTAGTTAGTTTACTTAATACCCAAGAGCAGAAAAGAAGATTTTCAAAGAAATAATGCATTTTCACTATGTAATCTATATAGCCCCGCCCTAGCACATAAACCCCTGACCCTGGGGCCATGAATTCCACAATTTTGGTAGAGGACTCAATGCTCATTACATTCATGCCAACAGTTTGCCTGCTTGATGTCCAGGAGTAAAGAAGAAGATTTTTAAAGATTGCAATAATTTTGGTGGTTTTGGCCCCACCCCTCAGGCCCCAGGGGGGCGGGGACCATGAAATTCACAATTTTTGTTCCCCTTCACCAACAGATGCTGTATACAAAATTTGGTTGAAATTGGTTTAGCAGTTTCAGAGAAGAAGCTGAAAATGTTCAAATGTTAACACACGACGGACGACGAACGACGGACAAACACGGATGGCAATAGGTCACCTGAGTTTACTCAGGTGACCTAATAAAGAAAAATACTCTTGCACTATCAATGTTCTAATTTCTGGTTAAAAACTGCAATGGAAATTGGAGTCCATGACATCACTTTTAAATATGACAGTGAAAAAAATAACAGTGATCTTTTTATGAAACTATTTACTTGCATATGCAATCATAGTAAACTACTAGCAGAGTAGCCTTTTTCCCTGACCTGTCAATATTGCTCCACTCCACAGAAGTACTACTTTTGCGGAGCATTATGGGTAGGCCTGGGAAACAGGCTACTGATTAGAGCCACTCCTTAACAAAGAACGACAACTCTTAAGGACAAAGAAACTGTACTATCAAGGTGGTAAATCTTGATAAAAAAAACTTCAATGACAATAGAACTCATGAAAAAAGAAAATTAATTTGCGTCAGCAGTATTTATTGAGGTAATAAAATACAAAGTCAACAAATAATGTAAAAATTATATATTAAACTGTATTTGGTCTTGATTTCTACTCTATGTATGACCACTTTCTGTTTAATTACAGAATCAAAACATATAAACATATTTAAAAAACATTATCTAATTCACATAAGTGTGACCAGAAACTAAAAAAAAATCTACTTTAAAACAGTCTTATAACAATAAGGATCTTTAATACGACCACATGAATGTTGACTGCTTTTGAAAAAAAAATTGCTTTATAAAATAAAGTGTTAGAGTAAAAATATCAGGATTTGTATATTTATTCTGAAGACATCTGTGATACTAAAATTGTTAGTACCACAAGTAAACATTTATATAAATGTTTAAAAAGATCTAATAAAACATATAAAATTAAAATACTACTTACAAACATTAATGAAATAAACAACAGTCCACTTGAATAAAAAAAGGAAAAACCCAAACAAATATTTGGCAGTTTGCAATACAACTTCCCTTGATTCATATACAACATAAAAATGTTCGAAAAATTTACAGAATAATTTGAATTCTTCTTTAAATGCAGTATTTTATTTTTCATCCATTTTGAAATGAATTTTAACATGTGAACTTATGAAGTCTTTGTCTACTCCAGTTTATGGCAATATTGATATACATATATCCTCCCTCAAACAGCTTACTCCAGCAAAAATATCTTGAAACATTTCATACAAAAAAATTTAACGGGGAATTTATCAATTTTTCATAAACTGATGTCCTTTGGCTTTTATTTCCCATATCAAGAGTGCAAAATTGGCATGATAGCATTTGGCAGATTAAATAATACTACATGTATATGCATGGTTCCAATATAACATTTGTTTACCCTAAAAAAATGACAATATCAAAAGTGCGAAGCATTATTATATTGACATTTAAGGAGAAAATCTAAACAAAACTGGAACTTTTTCTCCAAGCTCTCCGCTGATATGGTGTCCAGTACAGAAACAAAACAGAGATCTGACAAGCTACATGTATCACCACTGTCTTTGGTATATATCTAGATTATTTGTTGTGCTTCTGTTGGCCTTACACACCAGTTCTATATATTAATATTTAGATTTATCTCTCATGTTGCAGAACAACATTATACATGCTGCCATCATCAGAATCTGTAAAAGATTTTTTTTAGTGCAAATTAACAAAGTAAGAAACTACAAAATAGTAATGGTGGAATGTTGGAGGTTGGGGGGAGCAGGTCAAGTAAACTTGATCCAATTCATTAAATCATAAATTATCTAATTAGACAATCAAATTGAAAGGAATGCATATATACCTGAACAACTGCCACACATAAACCAGCTATCCCAATGTACTGCATGTTCTTGGAAAACAAATACTCTATTTCATCCATACAACCCTGAAAAAAAAATTAGGAATATTACATTGTTAAACATATTAACTCTTATGTAATACTATTATACTCTATAAATCAACTTGAATTAAGTTTCTCAGAGACTGTTTAAGATGTTTTAAGATTTTTAATGCTGTACCTGTGCACTGACATGTAAGTAGTCATGATTACATCAAATACACAAAATCTTTGAGACAAGGCAAACAATACTAGACAACACACCTTTGTGTTCCACAGAAAGCTCTGGGACTGTTCACAATCTGGTGCAGGGTCCACACAACAGGAGGGCCTGACCTGTTTACCCCGGTCTCCGATGTCATACCAGTCCGTGTAGTTATTCACACCACAACACTGGAGCTGTCAAAATTCAATCAGTACGCAATAAATAAATAATTTTACAACAAGAACCACCCCCCTTTCAAAAAAAAAATCCAGCTTTACTATCGGTACATAAGAATGTTACACACACACTGTAAAAAAAAATAGTTTACTACATATATTTTCAGTATTTTAAATATTTATTTAAATTTTATGTACTACATTTTAATTTGTGTTATGAATGTTGTGTACATATTAATGTGCAAGATCATTTGAACTTCAGAATTATTCATGTCAATACTGCAGAGCTCTCTAAAAATTCCACAGTCATGTCTTCAATTTTACAATTGCAAACAAAAGTTTTGGCATTTTATTTCAATCCATCTGTACAAAAAAACTTCTTTCTTATCTATGAAATATATATATTATATATGTGCTTTAAAAATTTGCTTAACTGACTTTACATTAACTAGACTTACATCTATTTGTATGGTGTCAATGAGCTGTAAGATTCCTTCCCTCTTTTAACAGTGACATTAACTAGAATTACATCTGTTTGTATGGTATCAATGAGCTGTAAGATTCCTTCCCTCTTTTAACAGTTACATTAACTAGAATTACATCTGTTTGTATGGTATCAATAAGCTGTAAGATTCCTTCCCTCTTTTAACAGTGACATTAACTAGAATTACATCTGTTTGTATGGTATCAATGAGCTGTAAGATTCCTTCCCTCTTTTAACAGTTACATTAACTAGAATTACATCTGTTTGTATGGTATCAATAAGCTGTAAGATTCCTTCCCTCTTTTAACAGTTACATTAACTAGAATTACATCTGTTTGTATGGTATCAATAAGCTGTAAGATTCCTTCCCTCTTTTAACAGTGACATTAACTAGAATTACATCTGTTTGTATAGTATCAATAAGCTGTAAGATTCCTTCCCTCTTTTAACAGTGACATTAACTAGAATTACATCTGTTTGTATGGTATCAATAAGCTGTAAGATTCCTTCCCTCTTTTAACAGTGACATTAACTAGACTTACATCTGTTTGTATGGTATCAATAAGCTGTAAGATTCCTTCCCTCTTTTCTGACTGGACTTGTGGATCAGAACTGTACTCCAAGCTGTATAACATTTCTTCTTTTATTGCTGTTTTGATCTGAATACAGAAGTAAAAATTATGTTCAATACTGACAACATTTTTTACATAAAGAACAAATAGCAGACAGTTCAAATGAGAAACTATAATTACTTTTAATACACATCTGCAAGAATTGATATATTCTTATATTAAAATGTAATAATATGAGTCATTATTTGTATTATATATATTTTTTTAACTTACATCCTTTTGATATGATAATATCAATGCTGTAGCTGCAATCTCTAGTCCAAATATAATCAGGACAAAAATGAAGTACTGAAAATAGAATTATATTGAAATCAGTAAGCCTGTAAAGACTTATACACATGTTAGTGCAAGTATCTTCACTAGCATAATAGACCAAGGGTTTTATGAGAAAAATAACAAATCAGACACCCTTGGCTTGCAAAGATGACATGTTAGAAAATCATATCAAATAAAGGGAAATAATTCTGATTTACAAATCTAAACAGAGCAAACACTTACAACCACCATCATGCATTTGTTCTCAACTAAAGCACCACAGCATCCTACAAAGCCTATGACCAGAGTTATGGTTCCTGCTATTATCACTAAGGAAGCCGCGGTCAGGAAGCTGTGGCTGGGCAGAACCACGGAGAAGGAATCCCTGTTTGCCTGCATCCATATTCCTACTGCAAACACTCCACATCCAAGTACCTGTAAAGAATTTAAACTCAAAATAACATTTTTTAAATAAAATAAAAAGTGGTTTCAGATAAGGCCATGCAAAGTTAATAACTTGGTTCTCAGGCCTTTTTTCAAGAAATATGATGAGGGAGGGAGGCATTTTTTTTTCTTTTTTATTGCCCCCAAAACATGATGAGGCAGCTTTTTACATTGTACAAAACCTCAAAAAATGATGAGGGAGGTGATTTGGTGTTTATATTTTATTGATTTAGCAATAAAAAGGGTCAATGAGGCACCCTTGGAAGAGATGAGGGAGGGCCTGAGAACCAAGAAATTAATTTTTTTTTGCCTAAATAGCTTCTTCTGTTCTTCATTAACAAGCATCATGAATATGTTCACAATTTTAAATCAATTAATGAAAAAAATATAGTGAACACTCTTAGTCCAAAAGATTTACTAATCTGAATATTTTTCTTGCACGATACAGGGGTCTAGAATTTTTTTTTTAACTCACTTGCCCAAGGGCAAGTTACACAATAAATTTCACTTGCCCGCCTAAAAAATTCACTTGCCCAACAATCTATATTGCATTAATTGTATTTTATTGTTCAGTGGATATATTTATTATGTAAATTCTAACATTAATCATTTTAATTTCAGAAGTCATAGCCTTCAAATCACGTTTGTGTCATTTCCGGGAAATCGAAAGAGTGCTGTCTTTGGTTTTGCATTTACACAACAAACACCTATATCCGGTAGGGATACCATGTATTTTATTTGCTGGGAAACGCTTCACATCATTTCACACAACTTGCTAGCTAAGTATATAAACTCAATTTTCAATAAAAACTCGTGAATAGAACAACTTTCAACATCACTGGTGTCTACGGTCTTTTATATTTACTTTCCCGAGTGGGTGAGCATGACCCATGATCATACTTTCCCGAGCGAATTTTTACTCACCCCAGGCAATGGGAATGCATAATTCTAGACCCCTGCGATACAGTTAAAAACATTTCAGTGTAATATACAATACTAAAAACAAAAACACAAAAGTCTACAAACCCATATAATGACATTGAAAATGAGGAAGAGGTACTTAATGGTGCAGATTGCAGATCCTTTTCCAGACTGCCCCATGTTTAAATGCTCAGCACTTCTCAGGCAAACTCATTCACTTATATATGCACCTATAAAATCATAAAATATTGAAAGATAATCTCTTGATTTAGCTAATATCATTCGAATTAGATTTATAGCTTTAGTCTGTTTTATCAAAGTATTCAAAAAAGCTTGATAAATCTGTTTCAAAAGTAATACAGTTTTTCAGTTTCTTTGTCCTCAAAGAAATCAAACAAACCCCAGATTTTTTTTTGCTCAAAAGTATTCAAAACTGCTATGCAAGAACTGATTTTGATTTGCACTGCTTTTTAATATGTTTTTAAATACTCCAGAGTACATATAAAAATAGTCAAATATTTTCTTCCGATACAGTGCAGGGTCTTCTGGGCATCATCGCACTTTGCAACATTTTTTCCCTATTTCTTACCCACCAAAATTGCGAAAAACACCATTTAAATACATGAAGCTCTAAGCTATTTTAAATAGTTAATACACATATATACATGTACATACAGCTATTACAAGCTGCAAAGCCAGGGACATAAATTATAACAATTTATGTCTCTAATATAGCTAGATGTGCTTGATCTTTTCACTGCACCTAAATGCAATTTTTTTTAATGCTAAAAAATTGATTATTTAAGAAATAAATATCATAAAGCAGCTAAATCAAGCTATTTCGAATAGCTTAATCAAGCTATAAAGAAGTATAGCTAATTCAAGCTACACCAAGAATTTCTGCCTTAGTTACAATAGATGGCAGGTCCAGTACAATTCACTAGATTTAGCTACGTAGGTAGAATTACCTACGTAGCTTTATTTACCTACCTCAGGTAGCTTTATTTAGCTATTTCAAGGTAAGTTTTCAAAAGTTTTCTTTTTATTAAAAAGAGACAAAAAGTCGCAATTAAATGACTAGATATTTATACTAGGGAGGCTTAAGGATATCCGATCCTCAGCCAGGAAGGATAACTCCAAAAATTAATATTTAATTTGAAATGCATCAAAATGAAGCTTGAAAATGAATTTTTTCATGCAACAATTTTCATTTTATTCATCTTTATAAGATTCAAGGTTTTTGGAAGACTTAGAAAAGGTCTTATGCAAGATGACATTCGTACCCTAAAAAAGGGGAAAAATTTAATACTAGAGAAATAAGATTTTCTTGAATCCATCCTTATATACCAATGCTTATTAGCATGATATGAAATGAAAAGTGATTTGTGGTGTCTTGCAATGATAGCAAAAGCCTTTTACACTTTGTATTATAGAATACATGATGGAAATAGAAGACAAAAAAATACCAAATAAGTATATAAATCATGACAATTTCTCTGAATGCCTTGATACTTATCGTTTTTTAACCTAAATTATATTTGTTGATCAATTTGTGATTATAAAATGCATTGCTGATATTCCAATTTGCTTTTTCTGCAAAAATATTGGAGATTTGACAATTTTCCCTATATAATATGATTAACTTTAATCTTTAACTTTAAAGAAATACTGTGGATAAATTTACATAACTTTGTGGATTCAGAGAAACTTTTATGAGTATTTTTGATTACTTAATTAACTCCTAATTTGATAAACCTGAGGATTGGACTACCTTAAAAAAACAATCCAAAGCAGAGATAGTTTATACACTGCTGCGTTTCGACAATTTAGAGCAAAACATGTAATTCCATTGTTTGTTAACTGTCCTCTCTATTGGGTGCGGTGAGGCATAACTGAGTATGATTACTTCACATTGTGCTGAACAATTAGGCCTACCGACCTATTATCGTGTTAACAGGAACTGGACTTCAATTTTTGTCATTTCATTCAAGGTAAATGTTCTAACTGTGATACATAGCCCCAAAACTTTCAGAACTTTGATTGCAATAGCACAGAAAAAGACATTTTTTCATGAGTTGTTTTCAGATGAGTTCAAAGTTGAAAATGATCACTGCATCAAAATGATATTTTCTGCACACCCTGAGAAAAATGCTTTTTAATAGAAATAAATCAATTTGGTAGCTACACCAAGCTACCTCAGGTAGGTAAATCAAGCTATGTAGGAAAATCAAGCGATTGTACCAGACCTGGATGCCGAAGCTTTTCAATGCGAGTTGTAACAAAGCATTGGATGAATCTTTCAAGTGAACCATCAGATTTCCTATCATATATTCTTTTATAACTGCAGGATTATGTTTGAAAAAATCAAAGCAACGGTCAATAAAATAGAAATGAGCCTTCAGTACAAACCAACCTTTCTTTCAAGCTCGCCATTTTGTATATTATAAACTCCCAATCTGAATATGCTAACAATAATTTTTTCCGGATTAAATTTGATTGCGTGCAATTTGACTAGGGCAAAATATTCCCGATTATTATGACAGAATTTTTCACTGGTTTTATACGACAAAAAATTTAGTTTGTCCACTGTATGTTTGGCTTATTCCTCAGAGCACCGTTTTCTGAAAGGTGACAGGTGCTTGGGGGACGGACCCCCCCCACCCCCACCTACGTGTTCCTTACCCGAACGAGAGTTCTTCAAGTTGACAATTTTTAAATAAAATATTTCTCTATCAAATATTCACAAAGTGTTATAACTGAAAAAATCCGAAATTTAAACTAAAGCTGGCCTTCAATAAAAGATACTTTTTTGATACTAAAACAGACGTGTACAGTTCACGCCACCATGCAAATACGAGTGTGATCTATTCAGAAGATTATACAGAAATACCATTCTGTATATCCATGGAATGTTGTAGAGTACATGCATTGAATTCTTGCAATTTATACAACTTAAAGTAAAATCACAGTTGCATAACACACAAATGCAAGAATTCAATGTACTCTACAAAAGATTTCTGGAATGTCAGCAAAACACATAAAATTAATGTGGCGGGAACTAGGTTATGACATATGACGCCACATGTCATACAGCTTTAGGTTTCTATAATATGAATGTGATAAACAGAGACTTATTTTTCTAATATACTGAAAGGATTTAGAACACACAAGAGGTAAGCAGAGAATGGTTTTACTTTATTAACCTGCATATAAGACCTAGCTTTACGTGAAGTCCTTAGTGATGACGTCATGCTTGGTAACTGCTAGGTAGCGTTGCGTTTTGGTTACTGTTGTTAGTTACTCACTTCGATCAGTTGAGAGTAGACGTGCTTTTCACAGAGCGACAAAAATCTCAAATTTCACAATGAAAAGACAAAGATCTTCCGAGAGAAAAAGCCAGAGTGTGTCTAAGAGGGTAATTCTTTAGCAAATAAAATTTTATTGGACTTAAATGCTTCTTTTTATGACATACGGTACCATTCGATATTGAGATGGGGGGGGGGGGGTGTATAAATTTCAAAGACATCGAAGGGAAAATTAGCTAGCACAATGTGCCATTACATTGCATATTTCCTAAAATTTGACATTTAAAAAACAATTTAAAAAAAATAGTAAAAGTTTAAAGAAAATGTGTAATAGATATCACGTAACAGCATAAAAACACACACCTAAGCTATGTTGCTAATAAAAGATAGGAGAAGGGACATGGAAGGCGTAATTCATTGTGGAGGTAGGGTTGGATTTGATATAAGGTCTACTGAAATTCTGTAAATTTACCATAAACTCTTGCATTAAAGCTAATAAACAAAGAGACAAAACAGAAAATGCAGCAGGTCTTATAGATTCCACAACTCTTTTTTCGGGCGTTTTCTGTAGAATAACTTTCTTTTTTTCTGCTTTTTACTTACATCATTAGGTACAATATGTTGAGAAAACGTTTGTTGTAAGCTTTTGAACATCTGTACATAAATAAACACAGGGGAACACACTCTATGAAAACCAAAAGTGGAATTGTCCCCCGTTGACAATTTAAAGAAAAAAAAGGGGGGGGGTCTCATTGCTGTAATTAATTTCAAAAATTTATTTGATTTAAAGTATAAAGTTCTCAATGGCTTTTAAAAAATATTTTTCTATATATAGTTAATATTTACCTATTTAAAAGTTTCAATGAAGAAAAAATACCCGTCCAAACATTTCAAAAAACTCAATTTGTAATACTTGTAATTTCTAATTTATTTTTTTAAATTGCAACTTTTTCACCAAACTGATATTCTACCTGTTCTCACTTCATAAGCCAGCATATATAAATTTGCAAATGAAAGTCAGTTTTCAACAGACAGAAGTAAATACACGATCGAACATAACAAGATCCAAAAAATATTTTGTTTGCAATTAAAATTGATATATTTTGATGAATATGGAATTCGGACTCGTTTGCCTTGAAATAATAAATGTTTAAGAAAAATGTTCTCAACTGCATGTAAATTATAGATAATACATTCTGATGTACAGTATTTAATTTGCATATTTATTTAGCAGTACAATTAGGAATGGTAAAAATTTCAGTCATATACATGTATTCCTTTTTTAATGACTGATATTCCTTAATTATTTTCATTTCAGCGCATAGACGTCTCTTCAGATGACAGTCGTCAGTGGTACGAGGTGATGCTTGCCCTGGCGGCCAAATCAGCTGTAAGTCTCTCTCTCTCTCTCTCTACTCTCAGTACATATCTGTAGTTTCTGTCTTATCTCTCCAGTGAATACTCTCTATATTTTCTATCCTTTCTCTCCAGTGCAAACAAGTCTTTACTTCTGCTGCTCATCAGTGGAGAGAGCACATTAAAGACTGGGTAAGGGTCTGAATGGTTAATACACATTTAAGGCATTTATAATAATTATTTCTCTGTGGGTTATATAAATAATTCTATGTTTTAAAAGAAATTGATATTATTCTATTTTTGTTAGTATGAGTTGACCCATGCCATCAACAAGTCTGAGGAGCGTAGGGAGCTACCCACCATACCCCAACCTACGCACCAGGTACGTACCTCACTCAACAGTGTTCAAGCCCAGCAAAATACATACTTTACAATAAAGTTTCGAGGGAAATTTTTTATTTTCTTTGTCTTGTAACTAACATTTATAACTCATTTATGTTTTTCTCCTGCAGATGGAGTGGTTGGCTAGAATCAATTTTAAGCACAGAGCCATGCGCCGCAACGTACCAGAGCAGAGACGTCATAAAGTCTCCAAAAAACAAGACCTGAATTCCTCTTTTTACGTCTACTAAAGAGGAGAAGGATTTTGGTGAGTTAAACCACCGAAAACCTGTATATTAGATGTTATTAAAAAGCTTTATACTTTCTGCAAGTCTTTATCTTAATTTATGCTACCCTGTAAGTCTTAAACATAAAGTTGCATTATGCCGGTGTAAATACGAATAATGACCCCCATCGAATAATGACCGGGGGTCATTTTTCGCCGTTGAATTTTGACCGGGGGTCATTTCTCGCTGTCGAAAAATGACCCCCGGTCATTATTCGATGGGGGTCATTATTCGTCTTTACACCTGTATACCGTATGTGAAACTTCCTAATATTTTTTTTTTATGTTTTTTTCTCTCTCGTTGTTTTCATGGCACAAAGAGACAATCAATTCATGTCTCTTCATGGAAGTGTTCAATTTATACTTCGTGTTTTTTTTCCAGAAACAAAATAAAATGATAACAACTAATCCCCCAGCACTTAGATGTTTTATCCCCGTTTTCTCAACCTGTTATGTTTGATGCATATTTTAGACTGTATATATGTTCTGAAACATATATTAATACAATCATACAATTTTCTAAATTTCTTGTAGGCATGGGACAGATAGTTTGCATATGAAACTGTTAGAAAGTTAGAATCCGAAACACACTGACTGCCACAATCATCACAGTACCGTGCACTGACTGTACTTGTATTTTGTGTACCACACACTTTTTATGGACCCAAGTGCCTGGCCTTACATAGTGCTATTTTAATGACCATCTCAGTGGTACCGTCACAATCATCAGTGTACCATGCAAGGACTGTACTGGAATTCAATGCCACGCACCTTTCATGGACCCATATATGTTTGACTACACGTACATACTGTGTTTTGATATAACTATTGCAGTGTTACTGCATGTGCCCAGGCCTTTTTATGCTTTGCACTTTGCCAGGCGCTGTGTGTGACTTTGCATAGACATTGTTTTAGAAGACTTTTGCTGCATGTTTAGCGGCAAAGTTTTATATGCCTTTATTTTTAGACTCATCATTATTATTTTGATTTTTTATTATTTCTTTTGTAAAATTGGTGATGGACCTCTAGAGTATAATATTTCAAATGATTTATGTATTTTTGCATATAATTTTCTTTAAACAGATGAGTTTGCCTTAGAGTTTCTTTTCATCATCATCACCGTCCTTTACACACCCTGTGGAAAGTAGTATGCAGCATCAGGCATCAGACCTCCACAATCGTCTATTCTTGGCCAGCCTAGTTGATTCCCATGTTTAGTGCATGGTTTTCACCTTTCACTGTCCTTCTCCAAGATAGACTCGACCTCCCCCTTCTCCTTTTGACCTCTTGTCGTACAGTGCAGTACTGTTCTTGTTGTTGAATGGGGTCTTTTTAAGTCACCTGTGTTTACTCAGGTGACCTATGGCTATCCGTTTTCGTCTGTCGTTGTCCGTTGTGCGTTTTCAGCTTTTTCTTTGAAACAGCTAAACCAATTTTGGCAAAAAGCATCTATGGGTAAAGAGAAGTAAAAATTGTGAATTTCACGGTCCCTGTCCCCCTTAGGCCTGAAGGTTGGGGCAAAAAACTGCTAAAATTGTTACAGCATGGAAATCAAGCAGTTAAACTGTTGGCATAATTGTAATAAGCATTGAGTCTTCTACCAAAATTGTGAATTTTACGGCCCAGAGTCAGGGGCTCTTGTACTAGGATGGGTAGATGGGGCTATGTATATTATATGGTAAAATGCATTTTTACCATACAATAAAATGCATAAGTGCGCCACTTTATTAGCAGACTTATTTTTGTATTCATATGAAGCAGAATTTGTGCATAAATCTAATGCGTGAAAAGAAGAAAGCACTTGTTGTGGCCTTCAACTCAACATTTAGCTATGTCGACGACGTATTGTCAATTATCGATGGTTATTTCCATTTTATGTTGATATGATATATATACTGGTGAGTTTGAGTGCTTCATATTTGGATATTTTACTTGGAAAAGACATTAATGGTAATATGACAACCAAATCTATGATAAACGTGATGACTTTAACTTTACAATCGTCAACTTCCCTTACTTCTGCAGCAATATACCATCATCACCTGCATACGGAGTTTATATATGGTATCTCAGTTGATTCGATACGCAAGAGCATGCTTTACATATGAACAATTTCTAAAACAAGGTTAATTATTAACAAACAAATTGATGAAACAAGAATACCAGCAGACTCGTTTAAATAAATCTTTTCGTAAGAT